AGAGAGAGAGAGAGAGAGAGAGAGAGAGAGAGAGAGAGAGAGAGAGAGAGAGAGAGAGAGAGAGAGAATGAATATGAGAATATGAGAATATGCTCCTTTGGTTGGGTTAGTCACACAGATGTATCTTCTGTGCTGTTAAGTTAAGTTTATTACCACTTTAACTGTTGCACACATTTAATCCTAGCGCTCAGGAGGCGGAGGCGAGCAGATTTTAAACACACACAAAAACAGTTTGATGTCAAAATGTGAGGCTTAATCAAACCACCTGGGAATTTGTTCCCTAAAAATCCCAAAATGTCCATTTATATGATTTTCTGTTAGATCTTACATTCTGCAACTCACAAAATAAAAGAAAACAGTTCAACTCTTTATCCTCTCACTGAGGTAGAATCATTTATGGAAATAAGCTTTATTTCTTTGCTGCTTAGAAATAGGGTGAGCGTATAAGTTAATACTTGTGGTAAAATGTCCTTAGGGGAGGGGATCTGGCCCTTTAAATATTTATATCCAAGATAATTTACAGGGAAAGGGAGCTGTAGTCATGTTTATCAGTCAGGCTTTCCAGAATTAGGAAGTTATTCTCTGGCTTATTGGTTCTTAGTTTGTAATTTCTTTTGGTTAAAAGGAATAGTCATACATTTCTAGAAAAATGTTACTCCATCAGTCAGGTTTTGAACCATCTTTGACCAAAATCACATGGTCACCATAGGCTTTCTAAAAAACTGATTCGAAAGTTTAAGCACTGCTGCTGTCCCTTAAATCCACGCTCAACACTGGAGGGTGGGCGTGGTTAAGAGCTCTTGCAGAGGTGTGGTTCCTAGGGCCACCTGTGCTCACAGCCATCTTCGCTCCAGTATGCAATGCCCTTCTCAGGCCACAGGGCACTGTGTGCACACCCAGCAAAGGTATACATGAGAACACTCATAAGTAAAACCTCAGTCTCTAAAGGATATATCGTAAAATACGAGTCTGCTTGGTTAGTCATAAAGTTGTCTGATTTTTGCCGCCTTTCAGAGTGTGTGAATTGCTTGGCGTGTACGATGAGGGGAACTTCAGTTTCTCAAATGCTTGGACCTACCTCGTTATATTAAACAATTTGTCACAACTGGTAAGTAAATGATCATCTTTTTTTAAAAGATTTATTTTTTATTTATATGAGTTCTGTAGCTGTCTTCAGATACACTAGAAGAGGGCATCAGATCCCATTACAGATGGTTGTGAGCCACCATGTGGTTACTGGGAGTTGAACTCAGGACCTCTGGCAGAGCAGTCGGTGCTCTTAACCGCTGAGCCATCTCTCCAGCCCAATAATCATCTTCTTAATTGTATTAAATTAGTTTCTGTAGCTAAATATTATCAGGCACTATTTTTTTTGTTTTTTTTTTTTTTTTTTTGGTTTTTTGAGACAGGGTTTCTCTGTGTAGCCCTGCCTGTCCTGGAACTCACTCTATAGACCAGGCTGGCCTCGAACTCAGAAATCCGCCTGCCTCTGCCTCCCAAGGCACTATTTCTTTAGAGAAATTTTCTTTTAATTTGTACATAGAATCTGAGGCAGCTTTAATATGTACCTTTATACAATATAAACATATAGTTTATGTTTGTGAATGATTTGGTGACTTACACAGACCTGCTGGTTGCTCGTTATTGCATGGCTGTGTGAGTGTGTACATTGTGTGCCTTCTAAATAAAACCTAGTAGAGACCTATTCAGTAAGAGGAAAAAGTCTTAATTGGCATATGATAGGATAGAGTTTAAATAAAAATGGAAAATTTGATGGGCGGTGGTGGCACATGCCTTTAGTCCCAGTACTTGAGAGTCAGAAGCAGGCAGATATCTGTGAGATCAAGGCAGAGTGAGTCCCAGGACAGCCAGAGCTGCACAGAGAAACTCTGTCTCAAAACACCAGAAAAAGGAGTTTATAGTGGAAATGAGTGGGACATGTCTCCTGGGCCTTCCCTCATGGTCATCTTCATGACCATAGACCCTTTCCTAGGAATGTATAAAAAGAAATAGAAGTATTTTTGCCTTGGATGTAAAGGACATTAAAACAAACACTCTGAAGTAGGTGGACAGTTTGGTCTTCCTATTGGCATTTAGACAGTTACTAAAAGGAAACCTTATGAAACATACACAGAAGTTAGCTACTTTAATTGAAAAAGATATTGGGCCAGGTGGTGGTGGCGCACGCCTTTGATCCCAGCACTTGGGAGGCAGAGGCAAGCAGATTTCTGAGTTCGAGGTCAGCCTGGTCTACAGTGTGAGTTCCAGGACAGCCAGGGCTACACAGAGAAACCCTGTCTCAAAAAACCAAAAAAAAGAAAAGAAAAGAAAAGAAAAAGATATTGGGCAACAAAGTTTGATTTTAATTCCTAACAGATACTGGAAAATTAGTTTATAACTTGTGGACTATCTCTGGTGGAGTATTTGCCTAGCACACACAGCTCTGAGTTTCATCTCAGAATGAGGGTAACAGTTCATAGGTACTAGAAATGGCTTCATGCTTAGAATCCCAATTACTTTTTCTGTCAGCAGTACGATAACTAGAACCCAGGCCCTCATGCATGTTGGGTGGGCACTCAGCCACTGAGCCACGCTGTAGTGCAGGAGTCTGGGTAATATGACTAATGTACTCCTCTCAAGGAGTTTGTATGAGACAGATCTCCTGGTCAGAATGTTACTGAAACTGTACTTACTTAGTGTTGACTTATAATCTGCATGAGCCGGGCGATGGTGGTGACGACATCTTTAGGAGGCAGAGGCAGGCAGAGTTCTGTCCGTTTGAGACCAGCCTGGTCTACAAGGCGAGTTCCAGGACAGCCAAGGTTACATAGTGAGACACTGTCTTGAAAAACCAACCAAATTAATTAATTAAATTAAATAAACTGTGTGGGTGTGCTGTGTGAATGTTATACAAGAGACTTGTAATAAAAGTGACCCAAATCTTTATAAAAGTGTGATGCTCTGTGTTTAAAGGCTTAACTGCTGTGTTTGCTTTCTTCTGGCTGAGGGGACTTTTCGTTCCTGTGCTGTTTTTTGCTTTCCTTGAGTTCCAGGGAAGACGTTACATCTCTAGAGACGTCTCATTCCTGTGCATCAGCAGCAGACACTGAAGCCTGTGTTTAATCTGAAAACATTGTCTAATTTGCAGTAAATTCTGCCCTGAACATTCTGTAGAGCAGGCGCTGGTTAGGGCTCCAGCAGTTCTGTGACTATCTTCCTACAGCAGTATGTGGAATGTTGCTTTTGTTTCTAGTTTGCCATGTACTGCTTGCTGCTGTTTTATAAAGTCCTAAAGGAGGAGCTTAGTCCTATACAACCAGTTGGCAAGTTTCTTTGTGTGAAGTTGGTTGTCTTCGTTTCCTTTTGGTAAGTATTGCTTTCTCACAAACGTTCTTATTTCATAAATACCCATAAATAAAACTGTTAGGAGAGTATTTGAAGATAATGTAAGTATGATGCAGGAAAAACTACAAACACAACAAGTGTTAATACAGGAGGTGAAGTAAAATGGCATTACCCACCTCTCTTAAAAGCCAGTCCTAGGCCAGGCGGTGGTGCATACACCTTTAATTTCAGCGCTTGGGAGGTAGAGGTGGCCAGATCTCTGAGTGAGAGGCCAAATTGGTCAGCATAGCAAGTTCTAGAGCAACCATGGTTATCTAGAAAAGTCCTATATCTGAATGTATGAATGGTAAAATCCTAGTAATTAATACACGTGTAAACACAGTTGAGTATCAGGCCGTTACTTACACGCTGTTAGAACTTAGAATCTAATTACTTGTACATGGTTTCAAAGCAATAAAAGGATATTTAAACCAAATGATGAAGCTGTGAGAATGTGTGATGGAATTCATCTTATGAAGCTAATAGACTTAATCCACAAGGCAAGGGAGTATATTTACTACAAACACAGCTGCTTTGGGCGTGTGCCTGAAGGCAGGAGTGTGGAGTCCTAGGGTGCACTCTGAGGCCTTACCCGGTTCTAGTTGCATATTTCCTAATCTTTTGGTGGATGATATGTTGTGTTTACTGTGTGATTAGGACATGTACATGCTGTCCGTGCATGTTGAGGTCAGAGGACAACTTTGGGCATTGGTCCTTGCCCTTCCTTTGCGACAGGGTTTTAGAATTGCTCCTCTGCATACCTCAGGCTTGCTGACCTGCAGTCTTCCAACCTCCCTGCTCCCATCAGGAGCACTGATGGCTTTACAGATGTGTGCTGCCCCCCTTCACCCCCCACCCCCCGGGCCAGGCTTACCGGGCTGGGATTCTCATTCAGGTCCTCCAGCTCCTGCAGCAAGGGCTTTACCCATCAAGCCACCTCCCAGTGTGTCCCTGCTGCATACTTTTAAAACCATCGGTCATTTTAGGGTTCAGATATAACATTGACCTTTCCTTAACTTACAGGCAAGCAGTACTTATTGCTTTGTTGGTTAAAGTGGGAGTTATTTCAGAAAGACGTACCTGGGAATGGCAAAGTGCAGAAGCTGTGGCCACAGGCCTACAGGTACGTAAGTACCGTCTTTGAACTCAGGGAATTTTATTGTTTGTTAAACCATTTGATGCAGTATTACCCCTGAACAACATGCAAACAGTGGGGCAAGACTATTAGCTGACTCTACAGTGCAGGAACCCTAGAGAAGTGAGCTGTAGATACTCTTAGTTATTTTCTTCCTGGTCCACTTATATCTGCATGGTACCTTTCAGTCCTTGGGTAGCATTAAGAAATAACTTGACTGAGGGAATGCAAAAGAAATGTAAATCCTGGCTTGTCAGGTTTTGAAGAAATGGGGAAAAAATGTTTTGAAAATTAATATAGTCTGGAACTTAAAAAAAAAGTTGACACCCTAAATAGCTTTTTAAGAGTTAGTAGTTTGGAAAACTTGATTTAACCACAGAGATGTCTGATTTTTTTTTCTCTCTAGGATTTCATAATCTGCATCGAGATGTTCTTTGCGGCAATTGCCCATCACTACACGTTCTCCTACAAACCGTATGTGCACGAAGCGGAGGAAGGCTCCTGCTTTGACTCCTTCCTCGCCATGTGGGATGTGTCTGACCTCAGAGACGATATTTCCCAACAAGTACGGCGTGTCGGTAAGTAACAGCCTGAGTGTGTATGTGAGGACCGGAGATGAAGCTCGGGTGTACTTCCTCAGGAGCTGTTCAGGTTGGGGTTTGGAGCAGAGCCTCTCACTATCCTAGAGCTCACAGATTTCAGCTAGGAGGATTGGCCAGAGAGCCCTAGAAACCACCCTTTCTCTTATTGCAAGCAACACACAAAACCATGCCTAGCTTTTTATCTGTGCTGAGGATTGAACTCTGTTGCTTCATGTTTGTGTGACCTGCACTTTACAGATTTCTCCTTGACCCAAATATGTGGATAGTTATTTCTCCTGCCATGGCCATTCAATAGTTAAAGAAATAAGAACATATTTAAAGTAGTACCATGATATAGGCTCTTCAGATTCAAGGAGATAAAAGGGGGGTCAGGGGAAGCTATTTTTAGAATCATGTGTTTAAAATTATAAAAATAACTTTTAGTTAATAAGTTTATATTGTCTTAAAGGGAGGACAATGCGAGGATATCCAAAAAAGAAGTGTTTTCCCGGGGATCCGGACCACAATGAACATTCAAGTTTGCTCTCCTCATCATCTCAAGACAGGGCTTCTGGTTCTTCAAAGCCACCCTCACCAGTGGGCCTGTACCAAGGCTTTGGGCACACGATCAGATCACAGAGCCCAATTTCTGTAGCCAGTGTATATGAAGATATTCTGAATGACATTCCAGAAGAACAGCATAAGCTTCTTGACACAGGACAGGATGTTATGATTGACATGCCAGATGAGCAAGACATGCCTTGGAAAAGCCAATATCAAGACCAACTACAAACAGTTATTTCACAGGCTTTACTTTATTCAGCAAGGCTACCTGAAGATACCACAATTGATATCCCAGATTGGGATGAGGAGCCCTCTGATTCATCGTCAGTTCTGGACTACTAAAGCTGCCATAGCCTCCTTCCATCCTCAAGATCTGTACAGTTGAAAATGTTGTAAAATCTGAAAATAGGCCAAAACTAGATATAATATACATACATATCTAACACTAATACACACATATTAACATACATATATTTGTATAAGTTTTATATATATCACAAATAATGTTTAAATTTCCTAGGCTTTGGCTCTCTTCAACTGTTAGAATATCATATATTCAAACAGTAGGTAACAACTGTAGCAAA